TCATCTCCATCCATGTCAGTTTTAGTCATCCTTGTTCTTCCCACTTCACTCTCTCCCCTTTTCACTGCTAAACACCCAGACTAGCAACTGTCCTGAACTGTATCAGGACTTTGGGGCTAAATTTTAGCAAAACTGTTCACTGATTGCAAATAGTTGTAATAAAATAGAACTTTCTTCCCTCCTCTCCTCATCTTATACTATTTTCATGTTATTCTCTAGGGCTTGTTCATGTGGTTACCAAGTATGTGGTAACTATGAAGATATCCTTGGAAAAAAATAGGTATATGAAATAGGGCTATGCAAAGCATTTCAATGATGTGCTTCTCAATGTGCAGGCACATAAATGAAGCACCTTTTTTCAAATCATTAAGCTTCCACGTCTTTTGTAAGGCTTGCTTTGAAAGCTGTTACTAGCTGTCTCCACATGATTGTGCCTGTATAGCCAGTTTGCTTTGATTTCTTCCCAGCATCTTGATCAGATGCTTCACACAGCTCTAGTAGTAGCATTCCACAGATTGTGTCAAGCCAATTACCAGTGTTCACAGACTACATTTTGCTTTTAAAATATACACAGCTTGTTTCTCTCTCAGAACTGAGTCTGGAAAGAGATGGAGAAAAAAAGGGAAATTCTTTTAAATAGGGTTTATTTTTCCAAGGTAATGGTATATTGCACATTCAAAATAATTTGTTTCCATAATCAAGCATGGAAGAGACAGGGTTGCACTGAAAAATCTGGGTGAGAAACTGAAAAACACCCCAATTTCTAACTGAGGATGATCTGTGGTTGACCTACATTTTAACAAACTCTCGACACTGAAGAAGGATAACTATGTTAGTTTTACAAATTTTATGAAAAGGCATATGCTTTCATGAGCATACATAGAGCAACATGTATGCAGATATTCTGATTACACCAGGGGAAGTGTGTACACACATACCGTCCACTTACTTCATTACAGAAGAAAATGCAGAAGGCACCTATGACCACTGATGGTAAAGGGGTTGGAAAGAATTCCAGAAACCATGCTCTGGTTTATGCCAATCCTGAAACTGAAAGGCACAAACAAGAATTATGGAGATTTCTATGATATTTTTTAATGATAGGACTAGGGATAAGGTTCAGTCTCTTGGAAACTGCTATAAGAATTTCCAGTCCCCATTTATTGGAGGAATATCTGAATCATTTGACTCTGTGTTTTTAGTCTGGACTGAGCCCCCATTCTCTTTTCTGTCTTGATTGTTTATATCTAACATTCCTTCTGTTACTTTCCCAGCCTCCTCACAATTTCCTGTTTAAATGGGATGAATTACTAGGTAGCATGGCAATCTCACAACTGGCACATACAATTGTTGCATAAAGAGAGTCTAGATCTCCATTTGGCAATCTTTATACTGGTTTATATAATTAATGCACATCTTATGTTTATGCTTTAATTCTTGAACAATTTTTAGTGACCCTTAACCTAACCTCCCCTCCCCTCCTCTCCTATCTTCAAGTTAAACTTGACTCCTGGAGACTGGATGTCTATACAGTTTTCTTGGCAACATTTATCAACCGTGGCTCGGCGTTGCCTTCTTCCTATGGATGCGAAAGAGTAACTGTCCCAAGAACTTATCGTCTCCAGATTTCTAGACCGCTACACCAAACTGGCTGCCTTGACACTGACTAGGTCTAAAAATATACATAGATTCTCAGCTTCAAGATATTAGCAAGTCTATAACCACTGACAAAACCTTAGTATATGCAGCTATTCAAATTGAGCATTTGACTGATTGAACATCAAGGGGTGGGGTAGGGTGGAGTGGGGTGGGGCACTTCACATAGGGATGTTTATCACATAGCTCATATTGGGATCATGTTTCCATTTAATTAAATATAATAACATCTTTCTGTCCTTAAATCTTAATATGCCTGATGCTCTTTATCATATTTAAATAACATGGCAAGCTAAAGGCAGAACTGAAAACTTCCCAAATTCTTATCCTTAGCATGCTAGGGTAGGCAAGGAAGGGGCCAACAAAACCTGGTGTCTGGACACAATAGATGAAAATGTGTTATATCTCCTGATAGCTGGGGTTGCATACTATGCTGTGTTTCAACTGTGTCAAAATTGGAACATTTTTAGGGGATCCTGGGATTAAAGGGATAGCAAGTTTGTATTGAAGTTCCCCAGCCATTCTCCAATTTAGCAGCCATTACTATTAAAATTGTTTTTTTTTTTTTAAATATAGCTAGATTAAAATTTCCTCCTTGGGACTCTCTACTTCAATATCTTCTATAGCAAGCAATCTCAAAAGCTGTGGATTGTTGTGAATGCCAACGGGCTTTCCAGATTGCAGGATATGGGCAGACCTCCCCAAAATACATTTTCACAAGGGATATTCTCTGCCATGTACTCAAGAGCTAACCCAGCAACTTCCTCTAGCTGGAGGATACAAACATTTTTGTCCTCTTAGAACCAAATCAGAAATTACTGGACCAAGGCTGAGATAAGAGGGGATTTACATGATCTCCCAAAGCATCAGATTAAAGTTTGGAATTTTCAGGAAAAGGGGAAGTTCAAAGAAACCGAAGCAGAGGAAAAGATTCTTCAGACACTAATTTGGAAGGGATAGGTAACAAATCTAAAACAAATTTGCATTAGAATTTTGATGATTATTTCCCTGTGTTGTATAAGTATCTTGTCTTTTATTTCTCTGTGGAAGCTTAGTAACAATGTATATTTCAGTCTTTTATACGTATCTCAGATTGTGCATGAGGAAATATTTATACAAGACACATCTTGTGAATGAAAAGCATCAATGTTATGTACTTATACGCTCTCTTGGAGGGCCATGTACCCTTCAAAGATGATTTGGAAGAAACTCTTCAGACATCTCATGAGCACATCATCCCTCTGCTGTTTGTTAAAGGAGTTCAACCTTTTTCAGGCTTCTGTGCCCAGATGCTGCTGCCTTAAGGAATGTACAGTACTTATTAAAGTTAAGGAGTCTCTTTTGAACCATGGACCCGACTCCCTTGATCCTTATTTCCTGGGTCAGTAGGGAAAAGCTATGAAAACTGACAAAATAATTGTGCTGAACTATACATTATGTAAATGTTATGGCTGGGACATAGATGACACAACACAGCAATATCCCCATGGCATCTATAACATGTGTTTGGTGTCAGAGCTTGTGATCTGGAATAAAGCTAGTAGCTGAGCTGAGAGGCAGGCAGGAAACACCTCAGTTGGAAAAAACAAGTCGCTCAGCCATGCAGAATCAGCCAGATGGAATTCTCTTGGCTCTTATTTAATCTGATCATGACTGAATTTGTAGCTGTACTGGTGCTCTTTGACCACCTATAGTGATGGTGCTCAAATGCTGCAGATAGCAGCAAGCAGCTTGCTCCTTAGCAAAACAACCACAAAGGCACAAAAAAGCCTTTCAGCCTTTCAGCCAAACGACTTCAAAATTCCTTCCCTTTACAGTCCAAGGGATGGTCCAAGATTGAATGCACAGAGCCCAAATGCAAACTCTCCTTCACAAAAAATCTGCCCCCATTTTGGTTCAGCTAATTTTCAGCTTTCAGATTAAAAACTCTGATTTCTCATAACAAATGATACCCAGGGAGTCTTAGCTTTACATCTCTGTTCAACCCTTTCTCTCACGTACTTTCTATCTTTTATTGGTGTAGCCCTTCATACAATTTGTTTTGTTCATATCCGGTTTTGAATATTCCACCTATTCTTCATATTTTCATTCTGTACATTTTAGAACTACAAGAAAACGTAAATACACCGGCTACATTATGTGATATTCTAATTCTAATGTAATGTAATATTCTCCATTCTCAATTGGCCAAATCATGTTGAATTTCAAGATAGAAATTGAAGCAAACAGAAAAAAAGGAAAATTACTGGGCAGTCCTAACTCTGCGGATGGCATCAGACAGATGGGGAATGAGCTTGTCTGCTACAGTGCCCCTCTAAGCTCAAGAAAGGCTTGAGAGGCAGATTTACCAGTGTTCCTAAACGCTCCTCTAGTCCTAGGTTTTAAAATAGGACATTTCAAGGGCAGGAAAGGAGTGGGTCAGGGACAACATTGACTCCACTGGATCCAGGATTGTATCCCTCAGTTGTGCTATTTGGGGAAACGTGATTAATCTCATTTCCATTTACAGGGATGGGAGGGGTTTTGAAAGAAGAAAATCCTTGGTTGGTTGTGGAATGATAAGTATCTGACATTGGCCACTTCTTCCCAGTTAGCTCTGTAAATGTGCTTTGTCAAATAATTTATATAATAAAACTACAAAGAGTACATGCCTATTCTCAAACAACATTTCTTTATTAACTTGTATGCTGGTCCAGATGGATTACATATTAGAGTTAAAATACTAGCATAAAAATAATAAGAAACCAAACAGCAATAATAAATACAATCTGTTGGGGGGATAGCATATTTTATATAAAGTATGCAGTCAACTCTATTGCCAAGCTTTAATTCCATTCTCATGCTGCCTCCTTTGCAGCTTTACTTCAATTATCTTGATGCAAATGAATTGCTTTAAGACTAGTGCATAACATCTTCTGCATAACATCTATTTAGTATTTTATTATAGAAGACTGTTTAATTTTAAAAATTAGTTTTATCACAACAATGTAGCTTGTTCTTTTATTAAAGTACTCCCTCCATCTATACTAATACTTCTGAGATAAGAGAAGACATCTGACTTTGAAATCCACTTTGCAAATTAAAATAACCATATTATGTGCAAATATGCTACCTTATTCCTGACAGTTCTCTGGGATTTCTACTTTGTCTAAACTTATGTTAAATACAGAAAACATAATGCCTGTTGTGTTTTCATTGTTGACAACCAGTAAAAAGCAAGACAAGAAGGTACTGCAAGAATAAAGAATAAAGCTATAGCTTTATAGTTTCCTTACAGATCAGACTCTTGTTCAACTGTTATGTCAATGAAAAAGATAAAAAAACAAGAGCATATTTCAACTGACCTGTTTTTCATTTTCATCCTCCAGCTTCAGCCTGTCCTCTATGCAGTTCCTGGCCTGAAGGAAGGCCTTCCTCTGCGCCCTCTCTGTCAATATCCTCACAAAGACCCCATACAAATTTACACTGACAAAAAGGATAGCATTGGCCACAAGCTGTAAAGGGAGAAGAAGGGGACAAAAAAGATACATTATAATACAGACACTAGTACACATCACTATGACACTGTACTTCTACCTAAAATCCTGCTGACTTTCCTTGCCTTATTTTGATGTAGAAAGTCTATAAACCTTGCTTGCTATTCTCAACATCATCTGTTCAGCCACTGTGTTTTCCAACTGGCAGTAGTCACAGGGTTTTTCCCGGTCTGGCACCCCAAATCCTTTTAACTGCAAATGCTAGCTATTGAATCTGGGATTATCTGCATGCAAAGCATATGCTTTATCACTAAACTACAGGCCCTCTCCTTTGAGGTGATAGAGAGAGAGCCACAACAGAAAAAAAATGGAAGTCTAGGTCACCACCAGAATTCAGAAGATGCTTGGAGCAATGACTCTGGAAAAGACTGTATGATGTAAATCATTATTTACATTCAATGGAAGATGTTATCATTTATTAAAGTCATGAATGGAAATATGCTCTACTCTAGATACAGATACTGGTGTGAGATAGGACTCCCTAAGAAAGATGGGTATTTGCCGTAATGTAATGAGCTGAGCCAAATAATGGGGGGAGAAACACAGGAAATATAGCAGGAAAAACAAAAACAAAAAACTGTACTACTGAGGTAGATAGATGTTTAGACAACACAGCATTAAATACTATGGAGTGGATATAGTTTGCTATATTTATGTTTGTTTTCACAATATTGTATGAGATTTATGAGCCTAGAGACACCTCCCTTAGTGAACATTAGGCTCCCTAATCCATCTGATATTTATCATTGTTATGTTCTTTTAATTAAAAAAGGATGGATGCTGGCTTGCTGAAATGGGAGGCGCCAGCCTCCAAAGCCTCCTTAGCAAATAAGAACAGTGTGCGGCTGAACACTGATTTTTATTTGGAAGAATGCCAAGATAAAGGGCCACAGTTAAGTTGAGGATGATATGGGGCTAGGGTGGGCTTGATGGGAACAAAGGAGTGGTAGGGAGCTAAAATGGGGAAATGGGAGCATTTTACCTGTGTATTGTGTTTTTTCTTGTGTTTGTATGTGTGTGTGTGTGCATGTGCGCATGCACTGGCTATTTGTTTTGGTGTATTATTTGCCTGGCTCACATGTTTGAGATGTTTGCATATTCCCTGAGATCTCTCTATTGAGTATGTACGACTGTACTATATGCATTTTGTCTACATGTGTTTTCTTGAGCATTATCAGATTGCCTTTTGTGAAACAGGCTTTGTAAGTACTCATCTACATTTTGGCATTTGCAGCCCACACTACAGATACACAATTCCCTGAATCCATGAACCTTGCTAATGCAAAATAGAGTACATTTTAAGCAAGCTCACTATTTGTAGTGTAAAAGAAATTTGTAAAATTTACAAATTTACATTTGTAAATTCAATTGCCTAAGAGGCAGTTCTTACTTAACAGCCAAGCAACCAGATCACAATTTTGGTACTGATATTTGGTATGAAGCTGAAGATTCAAGCAACATCCGCTGTAAAGCTTCCACTGATCAGCACATGGATGTTGGATATCAGAATTACAGGACTCTGAATTCCTAACCATACAGGTTTTTAATTATCTAATGGTCTCACATGTTCCACAGGATAGGACAAGAACCAATAGATGGAGATTATTCAGAAAAACTCTGGAAGTGGCTTTTCTGTTAGAAACAAACCATCTTATATGATTTTTCTTCCCCCCAACCACCACAAGACCTTGCATTAAGTATTATCATTTATGAATCTTCAATTATCAAATATACCAAGATTTTCTTATGTGAGTTATCTTAAAGGGCTCTTGTTATTCATAATATGAATGAATGAATATGTAAAATCATCATATTTGTATTCTTGGATAACAATGAAAATGGTCACCTCCCTAAGTCCCGAAAGTTATACAGCATACATAATCTACACGGTCTATAATTAAAGGATAGGACAAGTTGATCAAAATCATTCCTGGCATTCTCATCTATCAGTTTAATATTATTAATTCTTACAATGCTTCCTGAATTACAACATTATTGACCTACAAACTGATAAGCAAAAACCAGGAAAGACAAAATAAGCATGCATATGCGTTCGCTTATAAATTACAGCAAATATTTCCTTAAAAGATGCATCTCTTATAAACTGATATCAAAGGAATATTTTCCCACATAGCTTTCAAATCTGGTCAAAGAGCTTTATAAGCCTCTTTTTATTTCTTATCCAAAGTGGATTTCTATATAGGGAAAAGAGGGAAATTCATGTGTATGTATTTTTGTATTTCTTTGCAAATATGCTCAGCAGAGACTTTCCCTCTCTTCTGGTTTTAATCCAGTAAATGATTCTGTCCCTTCAAATGCATTACCTAAGTAGAACAACATAAGGAGTTGTTTGCCACTGCAACTATAGTTAGAACAAGGCAAATGATACAAAATGTTACTTTGAAGAATATAAATATGCTTCAGAATACGAAATTAAGCACTACCACAACTCTCCATTCTGCTGTCTAGCAGCAGCACAATCAGTGTAGGGATCAGTGTTCTTGGAGTTAATGGAAATGGCCATTCCCAACAAACCCACTTCAGGGCCTGGATGACTCTCACTTCAGGGGGACAGAACAAGATTTCCAAGTTATGGGGGAAAGCCATGTGGAAAGCAGTATTTATGGATAGTTTAATGTAACTCATAAGAGTTATAGTTGTTCTGGTGCTCTGCCCCTTGTCCAGGGGTTGCAGAAACAACAGGTATTCCTTTGCCAACTACAAGGAAAAGCTTCTGTGTAGGCAATGAGCCCTTAGTCTAATATCCCGTATGAATGACACATAGTTCATGCACAGTGAAAATGCAGTCCATCAAGCTTAACCTGTGGTCTTTATGAATTAAGTTTGTTTAATATTAGATTGATTCCCAAAATACCTTGCAACATTTAATGGTCAATGTGAAAAAAAAAAGAATATAATCTGCAATGTTGAGTGGAGTTAAAGGGATGAGCCCATGTAGTTGCTCAGCATGGATATAAAAGGAAATGCTCCAGAAGAAGGCTACTGTTGTTACTGCAGCTCTTATTGAGCAAGCAAAGAAAGGAGAGGCCACAGATATAATGGACAGAAATGCATCAGGAGCAAGCACACATATCAGGGAAGCAAATACAAAGGAACTCCTTCAGTGAAATTATCTATATTCAGCCATTAATGAAGAGATTCCTTGATACACAGAAAGGATCTTACATATGAGTATCTGAAGTCCATGGAGTCACTGTAATGAGAAGACAATTCCTCAGATGGTATCTATCAGGGATTTTTTGAACTGAATAAGCTGTGAGGGGAAGTGAGAAGTTCTCATAATTGACCTGAAAGTGAAGATGCTGTGGAAGGAGGATTTGAGTTATGTAGCTCTGTATGGGAGTGAGTAACAAGAGGCCAGTCATCTAAATTAGGAAACAGAATGATGAATTGGAGGAGGAAAGCAATGAGAAGTGTCATGCGTTCATGAAAAGGGCAAATGGGCAGGTGGAATCATCTACAATAAAACAAAGGAAAGAAAAATGGTAGAGTACTACAGAAATGAAAAATAACTACCCTGTAAATCTATTGGAAACCAGCCCCATTCTTTCTGCAGGAAAGGAAAAATGAAAGCAATAAATATCATCCTAAAGGGTACAAGTCTCAAAAAATAGTTGAGGCAGAAAAGGTGCAGCATTGGTCTGAGTTCACCATGTTTCTTAGCAATCATAAAATACCTAAAAGAAGAGGCAGGGCATTATCCCCTAGAGGAACTCTCTCAATACCTCTTTTTGAAAAGGGAGAGAAAAATCCTGAAGCAATAGCAAAGATGTTTTGGAATCTAGAGTAACACTGGGAATCAATCAAAACAACCCAAATATTGCAAGGGTCAGAATGGGGAAACATCAAGGTCAAAGATACTACTTAGATCCTGAAATTGATGTCTATGGCTGACACTCTGAAGAAGCCACGGGAATAGGGTAGTAGATTCTATTTACTTGTAAAGAATGCTGCCTTTGGTTGAAGCTATGAGGAAGACCATGGATAATATCAAGAAGTAACAAAATAAGGTTGTTGTAGATCCTTATTTACAGGCTTAACAAAGCTTTTGTGCCCTGTGCAGGGCATCAATAATTGTAATGCCAAATAATCTATCCTCATCAAAAGTAATGTTTTTTATTCTAACCTTAGTGTCCAATGAGAAACCAGTGGAGCAGAAAACAGGCACGATGACCCAAGGCAATGGAATATATTTAAAATGGACTAGAAATCCAATATCTGAAGTGGTTTGCTCCATTTCACCTTAGAGTGCTCAAGGAGTGTGGGTCCACCAACTCAAACCATAGGGAGCTGAGTGGTCCACCCTAAAAGAGCAGAATGACATGGAGATCAGAGAAAGGTGCCCATCAGAAATAGAGTGGGTATAAAGCAATCAGACCAGAGTACTCTCAAGTTTAACAAAGGGATCAGTTTCAAGCATCCCCATGGGTGAAAGATGACCCCAGGAAGTGAATCTCAGGGTAGATCAATTCCAAACTCTTTCAAAGAATGACTCCCAACCAAAGAGGAGAGAACTGGACAGCATAAATTGAGAAGTCCATCAGTGGTGTAACCATCAATAGAAAATTTGGAGAAAGCCACTCTGCAGGGTACTGAAGGCTTCCAGAATTGGAAACAGGGAAGTGATAGTAGCTTTATATCATTTTTACTTTTTCATTTTGCCCTGGATGCAATCAGGCAAATCTGACAACTTAGATGGCTTTAACTTTTGATGGATGGATTATTTGAAGTTGATAATAGCGCAGCAGAAATCTGAGATTTTTCTGCTGGTGAATGGGAGTTTGATCTTGAAGAAGTGAAGGAGGGACATGAAAATGTCTGAGGTGTAGCTAGAGGTTTAGGTAAGGGATTTACAATAGTTTCAGAGTTTGCCACCTTTAAAACTTTCTCCCCAAAAGTGGGAAGCATGGTTACAGTGATCTCGCTTTGTAAATTAT